TACAAACCTTGGAGTCGCTTCCGAAGTAGATGGGGATGAAGGCGACCCAGATGACGCACGTCGTGTACATGGCAAAGCCTATGAACTTTGCCTCGTTGAAGTTCTCCGGGACGTTCCGCGTCTTGATCGCGTAAAGGGTGCACAGCGCTATTAGAAGAAAGTCGAAAGCCAGGGGGGCGAGGACCCCCAGGGGAGTCGTGTTGCAGGCGAGCACCACGCGGTCCAGAGCAGGGAAGAGCCGAGTCGGGGCGGCAGGTTCCAGAACTAGCATCGCGACGGAGACGCCCGCCTCGACGCCGATCAGCGTACACGTGATGAACACCTGAGAAAAGTGTTCTGTCACTCACTGACGAGGGGGTGGCGAAGATGCTATATGTAAGGGAGGGAGGGGGTTGAAATGAGTTTGTCAACTACCCTATGCCCCGATAGTAAAATGACCGTCTGGAATGATGAGATAATCCAAAGCAGAAAACATCGACTCATTAAAAATTATTCGATAGCCCCTAGACCCGTTAAGAGCACAGATATTAAAAAATATTATTCCATAAGGTCAAAAATATCTTCACAGGAAATATTACCAACAAGTATATTATTAAAAAAAAAATTGCATATTGTACGGACTGTCCCAAAAAATGTATACACCAAATTAAGTTAATAAAATTAAGGAATTTTAATAAACTAGATCATTACATACGTCAGCATTGGCATTTAAATTTGGTGAATTAGCGAATATATTGTAGGCGTTCAAAATGAGCGTCGTTAAATTAGTGGAAAAAGTTGATAGAAACTGACTAACAAGATTCCGCCGATGCGTATACATTTTTTGAAACACCCTGTATATATAGACGGCAGGGGGCACGGCGAGGCACCTGGGCGGCTGCGGACATGAACCGCGGTTTCCTGGTCGGAAAGCGCTTCTTGGAGCCGGCGAGGATCCGGGCGATCCGGTTCGTCTTTGTCAACAGAGACGCGTAGATCATGGCGAAGCTGAGTCCAGGCAGCAGGCGAGACAGACTGCAAGAGAGCCAGGAAGGTTCGGCGAGGATCGGGAAGGTGGCGGCGTGGCTCAGAGTCATTCCCGCGAGAATCAGGTAGCTGAGCTCCCGCGTCGAAGCCTTGACCACCGGGGTGTCGTTGTAGCGGACGAACACGGCCCCGGCAAACGCCGTGGACAGGAACCCGAGGCACGAGACGGCGATGGAGACGATGGCCTGGCTGTCCGACCACTGGACGAACTCCGCGGCGATCTCGTCGCACGCTGTAAATGGGGAAGTCACTGAGCGACTTCACGAGACTCGGTTGTCTGAAGCTAATCAACAGATCAACTTCTTAAAACGTCCAAGGTGTTCTAACGTTTCGGCGAACACTTTAGTTGCCATCTTCATGTGAATGTTAGGAAATCCTTGGCAGTGGAGGCTGAAGTTGTTTGGGCACATGACAGGAACGTTTACAGTGGGCAGCGATCACGTGGTTCAGAAGAAAGTTCCTCATTGGACCGACCCCCCCCCCCCCCCCCTTTTTATATGGGTTTTCAACCTCCCAAATCAAACGGATATGCATCCTGAAGATGGCAACTGTATTTGCCTTAATGTTGGAAATACTAAAAAAAATAGACACTGATCATTCCATAAAACCGAGGTTACATTTTTATGCAGAAATAATTGAATAACTAAATACAAAAATTACTAAATTAAATGCCAACCTAACAAAAACGACGTTAAATTACCAAGTAACAAGAAACGAATCCCTTAATTAAGCGACTAACTAACCAACTTACAAACTAATCACCTCAAGGTAAAGAACAAAACCGACCTGTCTTGTTAGCGTTTGGCAGAAATCCGGTAGGGCATGGCCGACAGGTGGTATCGTCCAGGAGAAACTCGTTGATCGCACATGCGACGCAAGCCCAACAACACTTCTGTTCCTGACCCCCGGTCTGGAAGTTCTGGTGCAGAGAAAACAGAAAAAAAAAACACGTCGCTCTACAGAATGTTCATTTTAAAGCAGCACCGAGCGCCGTACAGCAGACGAAATCGTCGGTCGCTGAGCGACAGCGGTGCTGTCCCCCTCTACGAATATCTGCACTGCGACAAAACGACATCACCCTGTATTTACCTATTCCATTCTGAATCTCCGTTAATTTGAGTACACGTTATAATTCATGCTGCGACTGTATTTGCGCCAAATGGAAAGTTTTCTTGTGGGGAAACGGAGAACAAATTAATTCCAGCAAAAACATTAATTTTGATGTATTATGTGACAGAGTTAAATGTCTGCAGCTGTCAATACGACGCACGAAGCAGTCATCGCTACAAAGCACCGAAACCTCACAAACTCAAGCGTCTATAACCACGCACTGGCCATTAACGCAATCTGGTGAATGAAATATCTTGGAAAACGACCACTTGATAGACAAGAAGCAGATGCAAGGGCCATAATAACATGGGTTACGATTATGAGACATCGCTGGGTCCTGCTCGATACTGTGTCCAGTGACGTGCTCAGATTTTAACTGCGCTAAAACTTTGCGTTATATTATCGAGGTTTATAAGACGGCAAATCAGAGAGCGAATGAGTCAGTCAAAGGTCAGGTAAACATCACGAAGTCGAGTTATTTTTTTTTTCTCTGTGGTAGAAACGGAATGTTTAAACATTGTTTAGGCGAGCATCGCTTTAAAATTTTAGTTCCGAAACTACGAAGCCTTCACACAGAACAAAGAACCACTGGACTCCCCGTTCTCCGAGCTTCGCTATTAATCTGGGCGCATGAACCGAGCCACCCGAGATCAGCCGCGTCTACAAGCAGACTTGATTCCGTCTTTATTCAAGTTTTCCCAATTACTACATTTTTGCTCGTATTCAAAACTAGCCTTGTAATTAGCCAGACTTTTTCATTTTCTCCATTCAGAGATATTTGCGTCATGCTTCGTTACCGAGTGTTGCGGGTGAGTGGGTTTCTACAGAGGCTGTCCGTCTTCTTTTGTACTCGGAATATACAAGAGGGTTTAAGTTAATGGAGACTTTCGTAGCTTGTGACTCCAGTAAAACTATAATATACGAGGCCAGAAGTAGAATAGCAAAACATTCTACAAGGTGCGATCGGAAAGTTTCAAGACTGCGCGTATAAAAACCCGTACACTTATCTCAGGTATTAAATTCATCCATCACCCTCGAAGTAGTTCCCCTGGGAGTGAACACAACGAGCCCAGCGCCGCTGCCAAGCCTGGAAGCATCCCTGGAAATCTTTCTTTGTCAGCCTGTCAAGCACCATCTGCGATTCTGCCTGAATCTCTTCTATCGTCTCAAATCTCCTTCCCTTTACCTGAATTTTCAACTTGGCTGCGATGCGTCATGTGGAGTTCTTCCTTTAGAATCAGCTGACAGGTCCCAACAATGTCGCACAAGTCGTTGATGGTACGACGTCGATCTTCGTAACATTTTCGGGCGTTGTGCTCGAAGATGGTCGTCCAGAACTCTCGTCATCATCGACAGAGGTTCGGTCATTTTTAAAACGTGAATGCCACACCAAAGTTTGCGGACTCCCCAAATGCTTGCTTTAGCATTTCATAGGTTTCCGTAGCCGTTTTGGCGAGTCTTTGGCAAAATTTGATGCACACGCCATTCCGAAATCGCAGGAGGGTCGGTGTAATGCACTACCAAAACGCCCGTAACTAAGAAACAAATGCTAATTCGATAATGCCGGCTGGCACACTGATTCACTATGAATGTAGGCCGCACCCCCTAGCGGCAGAAGCTCGTACTACATCCGGTTCGCCCTCTATTGACACAGTCTTGAAACTTTCCGATAGCACCTCGTATTTGCCTGTCCCAGATTGCTAAAAAAAAATTAAAAAATATAAAAAATTAACAAAAACTTCTCGGCTTAAGACTACTTACAGAAATGACTAAATAAGAAAGCATTGTATTCTTGCTTATTGTTATTAATATTACGAGAGTTTTATTTATGCTTTGGACATTTATAAATTACCATTTTAAAATATCCAATCAATATCGAGGAGAACGGTCTCTTCTCTTCACATACTCCAACCAAAATGTCATTACCACTTTTCATCTCGCACATGCGTACTACATGTATCACCCATCTCATCCGTCCTTTCGAAATGATTTGTAAACGTTCTAGGCCCTTCGTGGCATTTGTTTGTCGGTGAGGAGTTGTAAGTCCCCAGCCCATTCGCCAATCTGGAGGACCACCCACTGTCGGACGTTCGCGACTAATTAAATATATTCCCAATCGTAACGACCTGTTTCATCGGGATAACCCGTGGCACAAGCCCAAACTTGTGTACAATAAAAGTGACCTCACCCTGTAGAATCCGGGCTGGCAGGGCTGTGAGCAGACCGACTCCACTTTCTCCCCCGAGCGGGGCCACTGAAGTTCGTCGTCTTGCATGACCAGAGACCCGTTGTTCCAGTCCCCAATGCGGATGTAATCGTAGCTACCATTGGCCAGCTGCTGGAAGTTCATTATGTAGTACCTGGCCAAATTAACGCCTGTTATCGCTTCAGAAGTGAGGCTAAAAATCCAACTCTTTTTTGGTACTCACCTTAAAAACAAATTATCAGAACTCAGTCTTTTAATTTACATCAAACGTTTGGATATAACTTTAAATTCTCCTCTGACTGCATAAAATCTACGTTTTTCCTCAGATTCTCTGTGTAAAACGCGATTATTTACTTAAACAGCGTTAACCAGTTGATCTTTGTAATGGTGAAGTGCAGTGTTTTCTTCGCGGTACGGACTGGATTCTTTGTAATGGTGAA